ATATATATATATATATATATATATATATCATAAAACTTGTAATAAACTTCGAGTATATATTTGGTTCGAGAATCGTGTATATATATATATATATTTGGTGATTCATGACTTGTGTTGTGACTAAATATTATGAAGATGATAACTTGAATTAACAAAAGAGGTAAAATACAAATATTTGGAAATAAAATCATTTACAAAGATTATGTTAACGTTTTTCAGACTTACATTCTCCGCGTCTTCACTTCTTCTCCTCGTCCTCAATCACAAACCTTTCAAAATTTGAGATCTTTCTCAAGACAGTTTACTTCTTTACGGCCTTCGTCCACTACATACGATTTGGTATGTATATATATTTTGTTGTTTCTCTTTGTTATATTCTTTTAATTCTTTTTTAAAGATAAATAAAAAAACGCTTTTGTCATTTCTCTGTGTGCTGTGGAAAATAACCATTAAACACAAATCAACTCTGTACACACAATGATCAAATCTGGTAGAAACCATAAAAAGAAGAAGATAATTACTCTAGTTAAGTGTAGAATCTCAAATTTAATATAAAGTTTGAGAAAACCAAGTCATGAATGGTGACTCTTTTTTAATCTACTTTATCATTTTCATCCATTCAAATCAATTTTTTAATTCATATATATATATATATATATATATATTTATGCATATATATTATTTATTTATGTAAAGCGATAGTGAACTTCAAAGAGTGTTTTTCTATTCTTCTCCTTAACTCGTTATGCATTTCCTTCACCGGAAAAACTCAAATACTCATTTATGGTTCAATTTCAACCCCAATTGTTACTTCTTTCTCATTTTCATTCGGATTTGAATACCAATAGCGTAATTAGATTCCTTTTTTAGTTTCTATTCAATTTTTAATTTATATCATCTTCTTCTTTTTTTTATTGTTTTTCACCAAAGAATAATTAAATTAAAAGATCTAATTTGAAATATACTAATATCTATCTTAAATGGCTAATCAGGATTGCTTCCTAAAGTAGGTTGATTTTTACTTATCACTGGATTTGTTTCTTCCAACATTACTTTCTATTTTATTTTTTTGCAATTCATAATTCATATATATCCGTTACACATGCATTCTTGTATTTAACAATTTTTAGGAGTTTTGTACATGTACACACATGCATTCATCAATATTCAACAGTTTCATGTATGTGTATGTATATGAAACACTTTGGATTTACCATAACATAACGAAAGATAAAATGAGTCGTGAAAATTTTCTTTCTAATATTATAAATTAGAGTGCAAATTCGTGTGCCTGCATATGCATGTATATAACTAACCTACACATATATAACTACATAAATTGGTGGGTGAAAAAAATGCATTTATATATATTGGTTTTTATAACATGCATTTATAAAAAAAAAATTGATATAGGTGAAAAAAATTCAAGTATGTGTTTCATTATTATATTTGAGAACAATGAATATGTTTTTCGGTGAATTGTATAACTAGATAGTTACATGAATTTCTTAAGTTTATATATATTGAAACTATGTTTAATTTAATTCTAATAGAAAGTTTAATATTAATACTTATAATTATTGTTTGAAGAACGCTAAATTTTAATTTGTGATTTATGTTGGAGATGGAATAAACCAATTTTTTTAGACAATGGATTTGCTCTTTGATAAACATATGTCGGCAAAAAGTAAAAATTAAACTTCGTTTAACTAATTTACTGAGTCAAGTTCCTTAACAATTTCTGTTTTATTGAGTCAAGTTTAATAACCAAACCGAACAAAACATGTAATTGAACCGTTTTTTAAATTCAACACGAAAATGAAACACGAAAATGGAAAAAATTTAATACAAAATACTAGAACTGCCCCTACGCTCCCAAAGTTTTATCAATTGAAAATGTCGACTCGTGGTCAAAGGATAAATATATATATATCATAAAACTTGTAATAATCTTCGAGTATATATTTGGTGCGAGAATCATGTATATATATATATATATATATATTTGGTGATTCATGACTTGTGTTGTGACTAAATATTTCTATTCTGAAGATG